AGGGCTTTTACTGTTTCTCATCCTTACCCACCTACCCGTCAGTCTTGTTCTGGCCACAACGGGGGTCCCTGAAGGTGTCTTCTCCACTTACACGAGCAGAGTTTGAACCCAAAGGTCCCACTCAGAGGAGCCCCTTCCCCTGCAGACAGTCGGCCAACATCTCTGATTCGCCTTAGGTGGGAATCTGGGTGGTGGGTGGTGGGTGGAGGGAGAGACAAGCGGGCCAGGCCTTCGTGCTCAGCAGGCCACACGGCTGGTCTGCGGTGACACGATCCAAGGGGCAGCTCCTCTCTGGCCTCATCACAGCTGTGATACCCAGAAGAGCAAGAAACTGGAAAGGTCTTTTTCCATAGGTCCCATCCCCACTGAACTTGGAGCTCCTGAGGGCCAGCGGCCGTGTTCTATTCACCTGGAACCTATAAAACTGCATGCAGAGCACAGAACTGGGAGCCAGCAGCTAAGGAGTTTGCTCTGCTGCCAAACTTAAGTCCATGACCAATCTCCCCTAATCAGAACAGAACTTCGTAAGGGGCTCCAAGCTGCCAGCACCTGACACCTGGGGGCAGGCTGGAGAGAGACACAGTGCAGACCCAGCTCTGGGAACCGGCAGGGGAATAGCCAGATGCCGGCTGCTGCTGCTACCCAGGAGACACTGCTGCTGGCCTGTCTCGCGTGTCAGTGTATTCGGGAACTAGCACCAGAAACCAGAAGAACTGTAGTTGCCAAGCTCAGACTACAAAAGAGGCCACCATCTGCAGGGACAAAAGAAGCTAGGCCTGAGTCACAGCCTCCTCCTAAGGGAACTTGGAGGGCCCTCCCTCAAGGGTCTGGCAGAGGTGGAGCAAGATAAACACCCACCTGCTCCTTATTTCACATTCTAAAGTTAAGGATTAAGGGCACAATTTTGCCTCAAAACTCCAGGCACTGCCCCCCCCCCCATCCCACCCCTGGGAAACGTTAGCCTCTAAGGGTCAGGATGACACCTGGCATTTTGGAGAGCTTGGTGCTGTGCAGAGGTCAGCACCACGGGAAAGCGCGACTGTTTATAGGACACTGGCTCCGGGTCTGGCCTCAAGAATCTCCCCAACAGCCCCGCTCCAGCCACAGCCCCACGCTGCTTCCCTGCGGCTCAGTCTAGAAGCATCTGGAGAAGCAAAGGAGCAGCTCCTGCGTCTCTCCACCACCACCCCGGGCCGGGGTGGGCAGCACCACAGACCACTGCCAGGGCAGCCTTCCTCTGGGGTCGTCCCTTAAACCACAATCCCTGCACCGAGGGCCTCTGTCCCCAGTCTCTCCCTTCCCATTTTCCAAAGACTGATGTCGGGGAAGGGGGTGTGCAGGGAGGGCTGGAGCCTCAGTGACCCCTAGAAATGCTTAAGACTGTCCAACCCACGATCTGTCTCCTCCTGCCCAAGGCACACAGGGGAGCCTCTGCCAGCACCGGGGGGCAGGCTGACCGAGAGCCGGGACCCAGGTGCACGGCCTCAACCTCCTCAGTGGCCTCTGTCTTGCTTTCTGGGCACTGCTCGCCCTTACAAAGCCCCCTCTGGTTGCTCACTCTTGCTCCTTGAAGAGTTTCTGGGAGCGTGGGGGATGGAAACGAAAAGGGCAGGAAGCATGCCAGGGACCCACGTCCTCACGACCTCAGCGAGACCCTAGGCTTGTAGGGGGCACGCAGAGACATGCAGTGAGGCCAGCTGTCAGACACTTGTCACTGACCACTGCTGTAGAAACCCATGGGGAAAAGGGAACTTAGTGAGGAACTTGGGGGTGGCCACTTCAAGGCTAAGATGACTGCTCAATTTCAAGGCATGTCCTAGAGAGAACATAAATGCCCCTCACAACCAGGGCTGCAAAGGCACAAATGGCTCAGGTCATCACTCTTCCCTACTGTCTGGGAACAAGAGGAAGTGGGGGGCAGAGACACAGGGATGAAGTGGGCTCACTGACCCCAGGTAACACGCTCAGTGCTTTGAGAACCTCGGAGCCCTAGGCCAGGAATCAGCAAAGTGACCCAGAAACTGGCTCTCCCTCAGAACAAGGTGAAGGCCCAGACCAGGCGCATCCGACTCCCAAGTCCACTCTCCACGGACCGGCCACCTCCTGGGCTCTCACAGCCGTGAAACAAGGATGCCTGCTCCCTGCACTGAAGAACAGAAGTCCAGGTGGGCCACAGCCAGCCGCTGGGTCAGGACAGCTCCGAGCAGAGGGCACAGAGCCACTCCCTGGGAGCTTACAAAGTCCCGTAAGAGCTGGGCCAGCTGGCTTCAAACACAGCAGACACCACATTAGCCATGGTAGGGTCACCTGAGCCCTGTCCGTCTTGGCCTGCTGAGCGCATGTAGTCAGCCCTCTTCTGGTCTCAACTGCCCGGTGGCCTTCGCTCCAATTGTATGAATCAGTCTGCTGCAATGACTGTGTTTTGATTATCACATAACCCATGAGTGTGAAAAGCTGATTTTACAAAAACTAGACTGCACTGCCTATAAAAGTTGCTGTTAAGTTAGGTATAGGCGAAACTCTGGGTTTTTCTCAATTTCAGTTTCTTAAGTGAATGTACATACAATTCAGGTGACAGGAAACGTGTCTGTTCCATCTGTCAGCTGACTGTTTGAGAAGCTGTCATACCACTGCCCCCACCGCATGAAGAAGGGCTTCCCTCTGTGCTTGTCCCCGCCAGGGTCACGGCAGACGGGAGTCAGTGCTTGAAACCAACTCCCCTCAACTCCTAGCGAGGTGAGCTTGCCAGGAGCCACCTTTCCTTGTGGGGTGAGGGTGTCTTGGGCATTTATTTTCAACCTAGGAAACAACTCTGTCCCCTGAGAAAGGCCATTTTTAATTTCTCTATGTCCCCAATTCAGGGGAAACCCAGACCAGTCCTTTGGCCTCCACTCACCTGCACCAGCTCCAACAACCTCATGATCCCGTCCCTCCATCACCACGCGTCAGCTCACCCTGAAAATACTGCCGCATTGCCCCCTTTTTCCTTGTACAATCAGCCCCGAACAGGACCGGGAGCTGGGTCACCAACTTTGTTCCATCCTAACTGATGAGGGAAGATGCACCCTACGTAAGCAATCCTGAAATATGAAAATGTTCACATCAATTTGGAAGAAGTGAAATGAGTACTTTACAGACTGATTCAGTACACTCTGAAAATGGATTTACACCGGTACTACTTTATACAAGGTCTTGTATGCCAAGTTACACGTGCAACCTCTCAGAGAAGTTGAGGGGCTTAAAGGAGCCACACGCAAGGGACTGGAGAGAGGGCAGACAGTGGAGGCCGTCGCCCTAGCACTCGAATTAAGGCACCGACTGGGCTCTTTATCCTTCTCCTCAGCTCTTCCTCCCAACAGGCAGCGTCCAGCAGAAGGGAACTGTGTTCTCTGCATCTTCACGCCGAGGAAAGACCATTCTGGCACAGGCCGACTGATGTCCAGCACGGACTAGCACAGTTAGTACTGCATGACAATGCGCTTTGACTTAAATTACCTGCCATCCAATTCCGTCTCCTGTTTCAGGTGCACAGCACCTATAAGCCACACCAGTCTGTGTTAGGCAGCAGGAAGCCCAGGCAGGACCCAGCCCAGAAAACAGCCAGGAGCACTAAACACCAACCAGGCCTGATCCAAACCAGAAGTGGGTCTTAGTGGAATATCCACCAAAAGCATAGTGAGACCGAGGAGAGGCAGAAGCCCGTGGCAAAAGAGCCTTCCAAGTTCAACCAGAGGTAGAGAAGCCAGGTTTCACCCTCTGCAGGGAGGCACCCTCTCTGCTCACAGGCTTATCCCTGCCCAGTTCCCCAAAGGTCATGTTCCTTTCTATGGTGGGTGTGATGACAAATTAAGTGCATTGCACACACTTCTGCCGAAAGAAACCTCACATTTCATCAACACCTCTACTTCTTTTTGCTAAAACCCTGCACGGCAGAACGAAGCAGCTTCCGCTGACCGCCACCACCCCAGGGGGCATCTCTGGCATGAAGCCTCTGAGAGGAGGAGTCCCTGCTTCGTGCTGCTGAAATGAAGTGGTGACGAAGCCAACCTACCCTATCGCTTGTCCAGACCCCACACTTCCTCCAAGACAGAGATTACCAGCAGGCAAGCCCCTCACACTAGATGGGAAAGCCCCCAGCCTTATTGGGGAGGAAAAACAAAACCTCGGGCGCTGAGGTGAGGCGGGGCACTCGATGCCTCCAACCCCGACCCTTCTGGCTCAGGTGCTGACCTAGCACAGACTTTCTTCCCTCCACCTCACTCACGGAGCTGAAGGACCCCCGCGATGGAAAAGTCTGTTTGCATGCTTTACCTTCTTTCCCCAACTTCTGAAGCCTCTCTAGGATACAGGCCAGCTTCACAGCCAGCACACGGTAAGCATGGTTTCTGGATAGTACGCCCACTCTGCAGTCATTCGGGGTCCGTAACAGAAGGCGTCACCCGGGCAGCCTGTGTGCTCATGTCGTGTTGACGGGCAGGCAGGAGGGAGGCTGCCGGAGATCTGGAGGCGCCACGCAGCTTTGCCATTGACTGTTAGGACAGCTGTTGGCAACTGACACTCTTAACTCCAGTATCATGGTGCGTGAAAAGATCAGTGGTTCTCACCTGGGGAAGGCGTGGTTTAAATGCACACACTCCTGCCTCCCCCTCCCCCAGACAGGGAGAGAATCTATGGCACCAACGCCGCTACTGGCAGGGACTGTCCCACCTACAGGTGAGGAGGAGAAGCTGGTGGGGTGGGGGGAGCGCCCAGATGGGCGGGAGCTCTCTACAGGCAAAGGCTTCATCCAGAAGCAGTGTCTCCTGTAAGCGCATCTTCTCCGTGGAATTGGGACAGTCAGCATCCTGCCCCAGGTAAGGGCACTAAGACTCCAGACGCTTAGAAAAGGCCGAACAGCTGTTACTCCAGAGCACGTTCTGGACAATCTTCTTCTCTGCCGGCCCCCGGAGCCCCTCAGACAAGGAGAAACAGCACAACAACTGTGGGAAAACTGCAGACAATTTGGAGTTGTTCTTAAAGAGGTTTAATTATTTGAATTGCATAAAAGGGGCTAGTACATTTAAATCTCCGCCACATCACAAACTGCTGTTTTTGCTGTTTTATTAAAGACCCACTTTCTACCCATCTTCGGGTTTATGGCTATAGAATGTAGGGAAAACAGGTGTTAGCAACAGGATAGGAGCAAACAAGCAAGAGTCTGTTCACCAGAACGTCTTCTCCACTGCAGAACAGAGGCTTGTAAAAGAAAAGGAGGGAAAGGCCAAGGGCTGCATGCCCAGTCACAGCAGCGACGGTCAGGGAGGCAGGACCTGGGGGTTCACAAGTGCTCCCTCAACCACACTCTCCCAGCCCTCTCTCCTCTGCGAGGGTGCGTTTCCCTTGCATTTCCTTCTGACATCTTAACCCTAAACCAGGCTTCCCTGTCAATTCAAATATAATAAAGACATCACTTCCACATGGAGAACTGATCTGAGGATTGGAATGATTTGCCAACATTCTGAGAAAGCTTATTTAAATACAGCATGGCTTTAAAGACAGGTTCTACTCCTTGAAGACAGGAGGAAAGGGGGCCTTTGTTAGTGGAGACTGGAGGCTTATGGCCCGCCGAACAGAGCAGGATACAAAAGAACCCCCTAATGTCTGCAGGCTACCATCCGGTGCTACTGTAGTCTGGTGGGGCAGAGGCAGAAGCAAGCAACCCCCTCCAGCTCTGCAAAGCCCACAAGGGGGAGAGGCAGAAGCAGCTGTAGGTAATGGCTCTAAATAACCAGCATTTAGTGTTCTCTTAGGACCAAGGATTTATTCCACAATATAAATTGCAACATCTGACACAAGCTACCAAAAAAATAGTAGAGAGGAGAGGAGGGGAGGGGCAGGGAGAAAGCAAAATACAGCTGTGGCAGGTACTTACAGAGCAGTCTCTTTTCTACATCACCAGTTCACCAGTGACACTAGAAACCAGACGTTTGCATTCTGCACATCGGCCAAATGCTAAAGCACCAACACACTGTTCGGAAGTTTGTTTTGTTTTGTTTTAATTCCAGCCACTGAAACCAACATGGAAGTTATTGCTTAGATAAATAAACCTAGTCTACCAGGAAAAAGAAAGGTGGCTAAAGAAAAGAAACAAACAAAAACCCCAAAAGTGAAAAACTTAAGCTCCCCAATATGGTAACAGAGTAAACAAGAGAGAAACTCCTCAAATGAGGATTTACTGGAATTTCTGGTGCCCTTCTGGGCACTGAAACCGAGTTGGACTCTTAAGCCGGTAAATCCCAGAAAGAGGTAAGATTTTAATGCTGTACATGAAAAGGTGCAAGCTCCAATCCTTCCAAATGGGTGGAAACCCCTGCAAAAAACAGTCAGCGTTTCAAACCTCAATAACCACAAACAGCTCTTCAGGAAAAAAATACAAAAAGTGTCAAAAATTTTTTTAGTCGTTTTTTCTTTTTTTCAAAGAGTTCTGGAAAAATGATCCCGTAAGGAATAGAAATAGCACCATGTGCAGGCTGGCTAGAAGGCCAGTCCTGCAGCTCTGCTGAGGCTGGAGATCCTCTGGCTGGAGGCCTGCATTACACTAAGCGGTTTGTGTTTTATCTCCGGCCTGGTGCGTCCGTCGCAGCGCAGCGCGCGCACACGTAGTCCTCCTTCTCGGCCGTCTCGGGAGAGACACCAACACAGACCTGATGGAACCACCGACTGCAGCTGCCATCACACTGGACCCAGTCCACCTGGTTACAGAGAGCAGGGAGACGGGGTTTTCAGGGGAAGAACGGGCCCAACACTGGGCAGGCCACTGCCCCACCGCAGGGACCTCTGGCACAGCAGCCAGAACAAGTGAGTCAAAGCCGTTCTTCAAGCGGCGGCTGCTCTGGGCTAAGGCCGCGCAGCCCTGTGACCAGTAAGCAAAGGGCGCGACAGCAGCGTCCCTCCCACCTTCTTAGCGCCGGGCGGTGAAAGCTGGAGGAGCAGGAAAAGGAGAAAGGGAAGAGTGAAAGTTTCTTCAAGAAAAGGGAGGAGACCAGGAGCGACGTGAGAGCAGAGACACCAGTAGGGGAGGGGAGCAATCCACTCAGATCGGCTCGAGGCGTAAGCAGGAGAGACCCAGCCGGGCGAGCTGTAGCTTACAGGGTTTCTGAGTTAAGGGAACGCACGTCCTCTATGGCCCAAACCTCACTGACCTCATCTCCTTCCGGCTGCAGGCAGCTCACGGCCGGGCAGAGGGCGTCTTCATCCTCAGAGTCCTCCTGCTCGGAGCAGGACGTGTCCGAGGGCAGGGAGTGAGTGTCGCCGGAAGGGACTAACTCACAGCTACGCTCTCTTTCTAACTTGAAATTGTTCGTGTCCTTGGGGTGGCTCAGTTTGACTTTCTTCTTTTTGGGGGCCCTCATTTTGGTGACTCGCTCCCACCGCTCACTGGAGAGGCCTTCTCTTTCCAGGCGTCTCTTCAGTTTTCTCTCGAGACCGCTGACTCCGTCTCGCTTCCCGCGGCAGCTGTCACTCTGGGTGGAAGACAGCAAACTGCATTTAGCCTAATCCGCCTCCTGCTGCAACCGGTGAAGCTAAGAACCAGCTGCACGAGAAGCCAGGTGCTCCCACACCAACTCTGACACGTGCCACACCCCCATCACACCTCCCTCTGCGTCCCACAGGACAACATGTATCAGAGTAACACTGAGAAACAGAAACGTCCCTGAAGTGCTTAGTTTCAAATCAGCCAAGCAGTCCCGGGAGACGGTGAGATGCCTATAGCCCTCTTCTCGCTAAACCCCGAGTAAGTGACCTCTGCGCTCAGTCTAGGTGTTCACATCTGTCCTTTGACCCGAAGGCTGCTAAGGAACCAGGCCAACACTTCCTTCCCTAAGGACGTGCCTGCCCCCTAGAGGAGGAAGGAGCACTAACTGAACACAACTGATACTGGCGCTACGCTCCTTGGGGTCACAGCAAACAGTGAATCCTCAAGGGCAGGGCCCGCCCTTACGCTCTGCAGTGGGGCTCTCCCTACCTGGCTGACCATCCTCTCAGGGGCCTGAAATGCCACAGGCCAGTTAGTTCACTAAGGGGAAGACCCTTACACTGCTAAAAAAAAAAAGGACCTTATAGAGCCACCCCTTCAAGTCTGTCAGCACTCAACACAGGCACCCTTGGCCTAGACACCTGTCCTCACAGCCACTGTCTTGTCAGGAGAGTAAAGTGCTTATTAAGCGCTGACTCCAGTGATGAAGGCTTTACCCCAAAGGCCTTCCAGCTGTAATTACATTTTCACCTCTACAGTATTTTCTTATAGAAGAAAAATAATCCTGCATCTAGCTGTTATCACATGGAAATGATCAGAAGCACCTTGCTAAAAAGAAAAAAATTTTTTTCGCACAATGACTTTAAAAAGGGGGATCAAAATCCAGGCTATGAGCCCAAAGTGCTTGCTTACAGCCATGGGAACAGGGTTGTGAGGTGGAAGGACTTTACCTTTTCCTGGATCAAAGACGTAATTTTGTTCCTGAGCTATTTCGATGGAAGCACAATTAGAAGCACCCCCACCCGGACCCTGCCCCCAGCAGCAGCTCCGACGCCCACCTTCTCACTGCCAGGTCCAACTGGAGAGCTTCGGTCAGCTCGCTGAGCAGGGCTCGGCTTTGCAAGTAATGTCTGGTAAAGTTCCTGAATTTCAGGAAGGGATACCTGGAGCAACTGGGCTTCCATCAACAGTTCATTCACCTCTGGACTAATACCTGTTGAGGACCAGACCAAACACAGTGACGAGGACAAACAGTGTTCCACTCGGATGCCTACCTGGGACATGAGCAGGGGGACTGCCTCTCCCTTTAAACTGTATTCAGTTCAAGTTAGGGTCACTCCACATGCCCAAAGCCACAGCTTAACAGAGCCCAGATGAGATTTTCTGTCTCTGATGACCAGGGAAGGACTACTTCTCACTTCCTTATTCTAACCTCTGCCATGACAGCTGTAATAGGAGCACAGAAAAGCCAAGGGCCTGGGCGCTCTGAGTGGACCACATGGCCCCAACCCCATTACTACATACCCTATGATGGTGCGACTAAGGACCAGAACTGCGACAGAACTTGTGGGGCAGTCATCTACAGGTAAGCAGGAGAAAGGGGGCAGGTCTTCGAAGACCCTCCTCAAGTCTTCTAAGTAATGAAGTAACAAAGGAACCCATGACTTAGCATCTGACCAAAATGCTTGGTGTTTAATTATCGGTTGGCATGGGATTAACCTTCTCATCCCTGAAAGTAACGGATATAAAGCCTTCCTTTGTGTTTCTGTTGCATTTATAAGCCTTTGAACATGCCCCTCTCCTACCCTGCAGATATACACACAGTAACCCACATCCTACGTTATGGTACCTGCTTATCTACAACAGAAGCCTACTGCGAGGTCACTTACGACTGTTCAGCCCTCCAACTAACAACAACCATCAGGATGATGATAGTACAGACCATGGAGGGGGATGCAGCTCCGTCCAGTAGAGAAGGGAGAGTGTAAATAGGAGGTTCTGTTGTCCCAGTCACCGGGTAAGGAGAAGGATGTGGCGCCAGGAGGCTGAGACACCTAGAGGAAGGAAACATTCTACATAAGGCATCTTCAGGACTGAAAATACTCCCACCAGCCCGGTGAAAGCAGCTGGGGTTCTCATCAGGCAGCAGCTAGCAAAAAGGCTTGATTTTTTGAAAGAAGTCTGTCCCCTGGCCTCTCAGATCTGCCCAAATCCACTCATATCCACCAAGCCTTTCGTGCTCCTGGTTTCACCTGGACTAACTTCAGGGGTGAAGAGCACACTGGGAAGTAAGGCATCTCTGTACGAAAACAGGTCATATGGACTTTTAATCCCTATGTGACTCCTTACGAAGATCACAATCCGATCAACACAGACATGTATCGTGTTGGGTAAATGCTGGGTAAGCCAACTGAGGACCTGCCAGATGGCGTTCCCATCCACGCCCCCAGCTTCCACTGAGTTTATCAGAGGAGCCAGGAAACATACTCCGCTGACCACAGACAGCAGTAACTAGCAGCTGTGCCCTCCCTTCACGACACAGGGCAAGTCCTAGCACCCCGAGTGTGAGCAGCACAAGCGTCTCCGGTGTGGGCCGCCCAGACAGCCACAGCCCGACTGAGTGACGCCGCGGGCCCAGCGTTCGCTGAGCACCGGGCTCTGTGCTCCAGACGCTGGAAAGAAACAAACAAAACAACAAGGAAAAAATATGACGGGGACCAATTTTTTGTCTTTATTTCTAACCTGCTGAAGGTTCAACTCCTACAATTCACATGTCTGTGCTGGTGCAGCACCAGGGAGGTGTAGCAATCTCTGCTAGAGGCCCTCTTGGACCTGGAGGTTGTCAGGTCACCCTGCAGAAAAGACTGAGCACTGCCTGCCTGGTTGCACCTCCCCTGCCTGCCTTCACATGCCTTTCCTGCAGCCTCCCAGTGATGCTAAGAGCATTATGACTTTTGGCAGAAAAGTCACAAAAGGTATGAAACTGACTGCCTCTCCTCTGAAGCAGCACACACTCAAGACACTTCCAAACCTTTTCTTTGTCAAAAGGCAACAGGAGACAGAAGGAGGCACTATCCCTCTCCACTCAGTGATGTACATGAGATGAAGCAGGAAAAAAACAGCCAAGGAAAAAAAAATCAAAATACACATAGATGTCTTTAGATTCATAAACATAAATGGAAAAACCCTACACATATATGAAAAGGTGAAATGTGCGCTACAGAAAGAATGCCTGACTAGAGGGAGGAGAGGAAACTGAAGCAGCACTGCAGGTACAGCCGAGCCTCGAAGGTGGAGTGGGTACCAGTGATGGCACTGCCAGCAGGGCCGCAGGCTCAGGGGGAGGCATGTGGCCAAGCGGAGTCCCGAGACAGTGACGGAGGGGAGCTCAGACTCACCTTGCCTGTCTCTGGCACCTGCCCCGCAGTGGACTGCCACCTGCCACACAGCAGTCCTGAGCCTGCACCGTCCTGCACAGATTTGAGGTTCCCTGACGAGAGCAGCTGGCGGGCTCTGTGCTGCCAGCTCACGGTTCTTTCAATCATGTACCGAAGTGCATCTCCCTCTGGAAGGCGAACTCGGATGCGCTGGAGGGAGGCCAGCAGGGGCAGGATTTTCTCTAACGGAGGTTTCTCTGACCTCCGACAATGGGGACAAAGCCAGATGCGGGAGCCCTGTGAAATACTGGGTACGGCCACACAGCTGGTGTGAAAAGCATCCCTGCAGAGTTCACACTGGATCATGGGGGCAGCTGGGGCCTTCTGACACAGGCAGACCTTCAGCTCCACGTCCTGCACAGGTGACAGCAACTTCCCTTCATTGACGAATCTCAGAGACTGCAGGGCTTCCATTTCTCGTATGCGAGCTTCTCCGAGCGCTGCCATCTAGAAAGGTGACAACAGAGGACAATGTCACAGAGAACTCAGCCTCCTCCTAAAACTCAAGGGTCCTGGTGGCTGAGAACATGCAGACTCTCTGCATCCAATTCCCAGCTCTGCCTCCCAAGGCTGTGTGGGTGACCTTGGGCAAGGCACTCCACTGTGGCTGAATTTGTGAGCACACGTGTGAAACAGTCAGTACCCACCTCACAGGGCTGCACTGACAGCTACAGCAGACACGTGACAGAACTTCGCCTGCACACCGCGAACACCTAACGTGAGCAACCTGACACACTCCACTTCTTCAAAGTCCAGTGTCCTTGCACACGTTATCTCCTAGAAAACCCACCCTCCCGAGAGGTGCAGGCTCTTCCCGCTCTACAAGTACTGACGTCTGAGGTTTTCTATCTGTTCTCAGTCCACTAGCTTTTGTGTTCTTCTAGAAAGGTACTTTATTTAGATGAGACAGTCACAAGCAGCCACAGGAATCTATTTCTCTTCCCACCTTTAACATTAAGGCCTGTGCAGGACACAGGCATTGTAAAGGATGAAACTGGATCCATTGTGAAAAAATTAAGTAGCAGCCACTTCACCTGGCTTCTCCTGCACACACACACACGTGCACACACGCATACACACATGCTGTAAGACTAGGGCAGAGACAAACGTAAGTTGCTGTTCTGCAGAAAGTGGCAAGTATACTCATTGTAAGGTCTTTCCTCTCTATTAAAACTAGAACCCCGTCCCAGGAAAGGTCTGAGTTCAGTTAATCTGTATAAATGACTTGAAAACACACATAAACAAATCAACTTCACAGTAAAAAGCTGAAGTGATGCTGAACATATTTCTGAACAGTATTTACAAGCTGTCCGTAAGTGGGACTTCTACCTGAACAGATCAAGTGCTCGCTGCATAAAACAGTCTAGGCATTACACATTTATTCATTTCATATCATGGAGTAAAAGCAGAGTCTAAGGGTGACAAATTCTAATCACTAGCTAGACAAAGTGAGCCGCTACTCCTCGAACAATCCATCTTCCCCAACAAAAGGCTGGACCACCAGAGTCCCAGTACTTCACTGAGGGAGAAATACAGAGAAATAGGGGGAAAGCACACGTTTTAAAAACTGAGCATTCTCCTCTAGAAACAAAAGCTACATGGAACAGGAACTATTCCTTTGCCAAGGAATATTCTATTTCCTTAAAACATTAATGTGTCAGTTACACCACTCCACACGGTCACATCCACCCGCCATCAGGACTCAACAGATGAGGAACCTGAGTCATAGTGCCAGGTCAATGCTCCACTGTCTCTCTGGGCTGCAGAAGAAAATGTATGAATGAGGGATCGAGGAAGAAACAAAAAGATCTGTAAGTAAAACAGCTAACAAACCTTTGGTACATTTTAAAAATCCACTTATTTTTATAGATAAAACAACATATAGGCAGTATTTATGGGCTATGTGACAACAAAGTGCCTCCCTGCAGCTTAGAAACAGGCAGCACGCGACCATCCTTTTAGAGTTCCACTAGGAAACTGACAGGCCGTGTAAAGGAGTTCATAAACCAGGGATTCACAGGCGAGACATGCAAAGCTCAAGACAGTGCCTTTACAAAAATGAACCACATAACAGTGGAAAGGAGCACCTTGAAAACACCAGAACGATGCTCATAAGCTGCCCTTGATTAGAACCTGAAGGGATGGACAAATATGCCCAAAGAAAACCTATGTCAAAACAAACACACAAACAAACCACAGCAACCCCACATCAATCACAAAAGAGATCAGGCAGCTATGAAGGGACAGACTGGGAAAGAGGGTGCCTGGACCAAGGATGAATGCCTTTAGTTCGATCTGAGGAGCAAGCATATCCCTGCTCTGGAACAGACAAAGCTTTATGTCATTAGAAGCATCCCAATGGGACTTTATCAAAATAAAAAGCTTCTGCACAGGGAGCAACCATCAACAAAATAAAAAGACAATCTGTGGAATGGGAGATAATATTGGCACAATCATGATTTGACAGGGGGTTAAGACACCACATAGATGAAAAACTCATACAACTGAACAGCAAAAACAAAAATACAATTAAAAATGGGCAGAGGATCTGGATAAACATCTTCCCAAAGAAGACATACAGACAAACAGCAGGTACACAAAAAGGTGTCCAACATCACTCATCATCAGGGAAATGCAGATCAAAACCACAATGAGATGTCACCTCATACCTGTTAGAATGGCTGTCATCAAAAAGACTAGAAATGACAAGTGCTGGTGAGGACGTGGAGAAAAGGGCACCCCTGAATTGTGGGGACATTCACTGGTGCAGCCACTGTGGAAAACAGTATGGAGGTTCCCCCCAAAACTAAAGACAGAACTACCACAGGTTCTAGCAGTTCCACTTCTGCGTATTTGTTCCGAAGGAAATGAAAACACTAACTTGAAAAGGTATCTGTGCCCCATATTCAATGCAGCATTATGCACAACAGCCGACATATGGAAACAACCTAAGTGCCCACTGATGGATGAATACATAAAGACTATGTGGTCTGGATATGCAACTGAACATTATTAGCCACAGAAAAGAAAATTCCTGCCATTTGCAAGATCATGGATGGACTCTGGACTCTGAGAGCATTACGCTGAGTGAAATAAGTCAGATAGAGAAAGAAAAATACTGTATGATCTCACTTATACGTGGATCCAAAAGACAAAACAGAAGACCAACCCCAAAGGTACAGAGAACAGATTGGTAGTTGCCTGGTGAGATGGGTGAAGGGAGTCAAAGGGTACAACTTCCAGTTATAAAATTAAGTCTGCCCTGGGGAAGTGACACACAGCACGGTGACTCCAGTCATTAATACTAGATTGTATGTTGGAAGTTCTACTAAGAAAGTGGATCTTAGAAGTTCTCACCACAAGAAAAAAATTAAAACCATGTGTGATGATGGATGTCAACCAGACTCGTGATCATTCTGCGGTGTATGCTATATAAAGTCTTGTGTTATACAGCTTAAACTAGTATTATAGGTCAATTATAATCCACTTTAACAAAAAGATTTTAAAAAAAATCCAGATCATATAGCAATCTTCGTTTGTGCGGATACTGTGCTCATAAAACATCCTGAAGACAGGATCTTTGAACAACAGTGCTTACACTAAACGCAGGTCAGACTCAAAACTATCCAGCAAACCTTTTAGGTTTATCTTACCGTAAACTAGTAAGTTGGCATTGCAGTTCGCTCATCTGTTAGCCTTGATATCCTGGATCAACCCGCAGGCGTGGAGACTGTTTCTGAGTCTTGGAGGCCTTCCCTGAATCTTCCACACCTCTACGCACCACCCATTCAAAACGTTTACAAATGACAATTTTCCCAAAGTCACCTTAGTAAAACTGAGTGCTTTCATTCCTCTACTTCTACTGGCCGTGCCAATATTCCCAGTTAACACGAAAGGGTTAGAAACTGTCCTTCCTTCCCATCAGAGAAAAGAGGACGAAAGGGCCTGCACGCACCGCTGACGCAGTCTCTCTGCTCTCGGTCAGGGCTCTCTCCAGGTCGCTCAGGCTCTCCACTCTGGGGCTTCTCTTTTTCCCACTCGGCAAGGGCTCCTTTAACTTCCTCTGCTTTTTCCTCAATCCCAAGAGGCCAACGTCACATCGAGGACACAGAACCTAACGTGGAACAAAGCATAACCACTGGTGAAACAGATTTCAGAGGAAGCATTAGGAAGTCCCAAAGTAAAAGCCTAAGCAGTGGGAAAGATGTGAGTTTCTTAGCATTTTCTGTGCAACACCCTGCCCTGAAGCCAGAAACTCCCCTCCACGCCAGAAAGAAGGGAGGGAGGGAGAAAAGGAGGAAATCTCACAAAAGACAGACTTTGATTCCAGATTCAAACAGTATCTAAAACAGTGGCAGAGAACGACTCCAGTCATAACGTGTGACCAGTATCAGCTTACGAAGAGTGCAACCACAGCACTTAAGAGAGGTGGACAAAACCATTTATCAAGCCTGCTAACTGCAAGTAGTGAAGACTGGCCACGGTTAAACGTCCAATTTCAACATGGACTAAGGAACCTCAATGAGGAAAATATCTTCCTTAGACAGTGAATGCTATCCCTAAACACACCCAGAAAACACCTAAAGGTTATTTCACTAGAAACTCAGAAGAATCTCCCTGCTCTTCTGGAACAAGTAACTAGCATGTAGCTCAGCTGGCAATGCCACGTGTACGTGAGGGACTTCATGTCTCACCCAGTGAGGGACCGAAGACCACGTCAGGACTGACTGCAGACTTACCTCCAGGAGAGAAAACTTCGAGTCTTCAGTTAGGAAGGTGCTGGCAGCACATTCTTTCCAAACGTGGACCTCAGCCACGAGGGACTCCAGTCTCGGTAAGGAACTCAGATGCACCGGGATGGAGCGGCCTCGGGTTACAAGCTCCACCAGCGTGTCTAACACAGGCACCCGTCCTCCAACCTGACAGATTAGGGGAAAGGAGCACTTCTGTCTAAGTGGGAAAAGCACCATGTGGACTGGGCCTGCCCCAGGTTAAACGTATTAAATTCACAGACAGATGCTGATAAAACCCACTGGCCGACAAGTGGTTGTGGAGGTGGGGTGATGCGCTATTCCACGTAACAAGAAAGAACCTCGTTTGTGCTGGGCCTCAAAGGTTCAACCTTGGACCTGACATACACTGTGGTCCCTTCATTCGGACTGTGTATGTCCTTCTCAGTTAACTTATCATTTTGCTCTCTACGGAAAAAACCCAACAGAAATGTAAAGTTTATAGTAACTCATAGGACTTCCGTACTGATAAATAAAAGTGCCAAAACAGTATCTGACTCCAATTCACTCACCAATGAATTGTGGGAATTCAGTATGAATTATTCAGGAAACTAAAATGAGCTGAGAAAGCCCAGAGGTTCTTGAACTTCATTATTCATTGAGAATCACCTGGGAAGCTTGTTTACACAATTTCCTGGGCCCCACCCCCAGACTTCCGGCTCAGTTCACCACAGAAGGGTCCATGAATGTGCTCTTCTAACAAGTGTCCAGGTAATGCCGAGGCTGCTGGTGTCGGGGCCACACGCTGACAGCGAGACCTGAACTGGGAGAATGAAAGCACGGCAGGGGCGGGAGTGTTACGTGGAGAAGCACTGGTGCTGCTCTAACACAGCAGTAAATGTCAGCACCACTGAGCAGGCCGCCCAGACGTGTCTCCTCACGTGAAGCATACAAAGTCTCACCCAGGACCCAATACTCTGACGTATTCCAACTCAGAAACGTAGAACCTAAATCCACCAAGGCTTTGAAATTAACGTCCAGTTTACAGGACATGAGGAAGACAGAAAACACCCCACAGAAATCACCAGGCAGAAGGCAGAACCAACCACAGGACGACAGTTCTCAACAGAGACGTGACAGCAGAGCAGGAAGAGAGGTGACGCCACATGGCCACTCAGACGAACGTGTGGTCCTGGAATGGACAACCAACCCTCAGGGACATTTCTGGGGACACGGGAAAACTCAACAAAGGTACACTGATGTTTCACTGCTTCTATTTACTCTAAGGGCACAGACGTTCTGCTGGATGCCTAGAAAGGTGACTCACGATTACAGGCCATGTCTGTGATACTTCCACTTAGAGACATGCAGAGTACTCGATGCGTGAAAGGCAGAATACTGGACGACATTTAAAAGAAACAATCCACTAAACATGATGAGGTTCCCTATTGTTGGTCTCATCTCTCAATTAGCCCTTGAATACATGATGCAAGGAAAGGCCCCGCTATCCCGTCAAGGAATGGAGCAGACTCTGCCTTTTGTGCTCTGGACACTGTTGTCAACACAGTACTAAGTAGCACATACAGGTTCAACACGTGAAGGGAGCAATGTGTCCTCGCTTCCAACCTCACACACTCACCTCTCCTGATTGCAGAGCACCTCGCCTGGCTGCCACCACGCATGACTGAAGGCAGAAGACCATGACTACAGCCACCACAGTTCCAACAACCACTGCCAAGAGTCTGCATGGAAAACCCACTGCACAAGTTTACGTACGCAGGAGACACTTTCCTCAGTTTTTTCTGTGGCTGGCTGGGGTCACCCGTCAATTATGCAATACTTATAAAACAATGTATCTTCTCTTCCCTATTAACTAGGATAGATATACATATGTTTTGTTGCAAAAATCTGGCTAAAACTGTCCTGTTTGGCATTTCTCATTAGCAACTGGTCAAACAGCACCACTTAAAATTACACAGATATGCAGAAAACCAGGTGGTATTGTACTCCTGGAATCCGATGGCCTCAACAGAACAGAACTTGAGACTCCAGAACAATATAAATTAAAATTTTAAAAACTTTGCCCAGAAAAAACACACCGGTCAAACTGGCAGAGTAATAGGACCACAAGCTCACCTCTTCTCACAACTACAACAAAATCACAACTGAATGCTAAACAACCACCGAAAAAGAAGACAGGAACGTAGCAAAAAAAATGATCTTCTGCAACTGGAAACAAAGAGGGAATCACAGAGGGACGGTAGGAGGGGTGTGCCTGGGATATAATCAGGCCCCATATCCCCGGGGTGGGCAACCACAAGCCGAAGAGTAATTAAGCCGCAAAGGCCCTCCCACAGGAGTAAGACTTCTGAGGCTCACGTCAGGCTCCCCAGCCCAGGGTTCTGGCGTCGGGAGGAGAAGAGCCCAAGGACATCTGGCTTTGAAGGCCAGTGCGGCTTAGCTCCCCAGGAGCCCTAGGGGACTGGGGAAACAGAGACTTCATTCTCTTGGGAAGCAGACACAAAACCTCCTATGCATCAGGTCCAAACGCAAAGGCAGTGATTTCATAGCAACCTGGGCCAGATCTGCCTGCTGGTTTTGGAGGGTCTCCTGGGGAGGTAGGGGGCAGCTGCGGCTCACCCAGGGGACATAAAAGCTGGTGGCAGACACTTTGGGAGTGTTCATCTACATGAGCTCTTCTGGAGGCTGGTATCTTGAATCATTAACACCAAGATACAGCCCCACCCATCAACAGACCTCCTGAGCCACAAACGCCTCTGGATACAGCCCTACCCACTAGAGCTCCAGGACCAAGCTTCAGCCAGCAGTGGGCAGGCACTCTTCATGCCAGGAAGCCTACATAAGTCTCTAGTCCAGCTTTATCCACCAGGGGCACATACCAGAAATAAGAAAACAACAATCAACAACAACAACAACAAAAAACAATCCACAAACACAGGCCACACCCTACACTGGGATCAGCTAGACCCTGGCCCTTGGGTGACGAGAGAGGAGTGTACTGTTGGGACACGTAGGACGTCTCCCACAGAGCGCCACCTCTCCAAGGTTGAGAGACTTAACTAACCTACCTAAAATACAAATAGAAAGATAGACAATATAAGGCAGCAGAGGAATATCTCCCAGGACAAGGCACAAGATAAAATCCAAGAAGAGGAAATAAGTGATGAGGAGATAGGCAATTTATCTGAGAAAGGGTTTAAAGTAATGGTGATGAAGATGTTCAGAAAACTCAAGAGGAGAACAGATGCACAGAGCAAAGTTTTTAGCAAAGAGTTGGAAAATATAAAGAATACCCAAACAGTTGAGCAATAAAATCACTGAAATGAGTAACACACTAGAAGGAACCAAGAATAGACTAAATGAGGCAGAAGAATGGATCAATGAGCTAGAAGACAGATTAGTGGAAATCACTACTGTAGAACAGAAAAAAAAAAAAAA